GTGGCAGTGTGTTCTTTGTCTAAACAACAGGCTCGCTATTGTAACCGCGTGAAGTACACGTCTTTGGATGAACATTCGCAACCGCCCACAGGCTCTTGATTCACTTAACCACATGTGCCTTGAAGCGTTTTATTCATTTTCAGTGTCTGCCCATATCTGTCTTTTAAATGGACTTTGTGTCCCCCTTTGAGGTATATACATACTACAAGGACTTCTGTAGTCAAATTGAGCAGCCCTTAAGTGAACACAGATTTAGGCCTTTCCCCTCTTCTACCTCAAATGTCAAACCAGTGTGTACCACTGTTTAATGAAGCTATTTACTCATATTGGTAAATATATAGACTAAATTGGAAACTTACGACAGGTCCCATGTGATCTTATAAATGGCATGCAGGAATAACTCCAGTTTTCTTTGAGAAAAGATTGTGAATTGGATGAAGTTTTCTTTATTATAAGAGAGAGTTCATGCTGTGGCAGGCTCTGCCACTCTGGGGGAGTTGAAGTTTGTAAGTGAGCTTGAGGTGATGAAGTTTCTGTGCCTGTATAGATGAAATGATCAAACTTAAAACCTTTAGTAGCCCTTCAAAAAGGCAGATATTACTATGTGAGATGTGACCAGTACATAATTCAAGAAAAGATATTTTTCCTGAATTCTTTTCTCGTTTTAACATAGCCTTAGGAGTTGAAATTTTTATGTTCTATACTTAGCCAGTGTAGTACCTGTACTGTTGATGCCAATGGCTTGAAACTGGTACTGTGGGTGCGAAGTCTCTCAGCCTCATGTCTGCACTCAGACAAATTTCAATTGACGATGTAGCTCTTCAAGGCAAGGCAGGTCTGGAAATTGCTAAATTGGAGATTTATTCCTGAAGGTGCCAAAGGCATTATTTGAGCAAATTTGGTAGGATTTACTTTAGTCCATAGAACATATAGAGGTGGGGGAATGGGGAAAGATACTTAAACCAGCGGCTTGTATTAAAGAACTGTGATGACCTGACAAAGAGGAGAAAGTCAGGAAGCACAGGTAGGTCTTAACATTTCATCTAAACGACAGCTGTGTCAAGGCAATTATGTGCTCTTTGGCAGAGGAACAATGGCATATCCTTAAATGTCCCATCTGCGTAACTAGAGATGGATTTTGTCTTCTGGCGTTACTTTCTTGTGAATCGGGGCAACCTTTGTGAATACACAAATTGGTACTTTTCATGCAAAGAAATTCCCCTTTGTGTTTGGAACGGGGTCCTTTGGAAGGTGCTATTTTGTGTTTTCTAGGAACAAGGTAAAGTATGTTGCTGCCTTCTCTGTCAGACCAAAGGAAGCGAATGAACTTTTGCTGCATTTCAGGATGTATGCTAATATTTCACTTCTATCAGTACTTTTCTCAGAAAAGAAAATTATCTTAATTACCATGAAGTAACTAATCCTCAAAGCTGTAATCATTGTCGACATAATGCTTCATATTTACAAAATATGAACAATTCAGTTCGCCTCTTCAGATTGTCATTTGAGTTACTGTAAACAGTTTCCTGTAACTGTTGTTTAATCAAGAAATTGAATTCTGTAATGTGAGTGGTAAAGTCTTTTGACTACAAAGATGTAATGCTTCCTTTCATATTTTATCCAATTTAGTGAAGTGGATTCCATCAGCATATTTTAAGTTTCAGCAACAATTTCAGTAGAATTTTTTACATGAAACGGTACAATTATGAAGATTTTTTTTCCGTAAGGTGGTATTTGGTAGCACACGGAGCAAATGTTGTGCTGATTATTTGGTGTAGCATGACTGCTTTTCTTTAACTGTAAGTCTTCTAATAAATGGTGATTTGCTACATCTTTGCCTACTTGCATCATCTTTATTTTTAAACATATTTTAACAGGTATTTTTTGTCTTTCATAGTTTAGTCTTCTGTACATCTTACCTTTCTTTGTCACTTGAAATCTTACCAGTTTTCATGTTGGTTTCCAGACTCTTAAAGTTAGCTAGCCAGCCTCGTTTTAGCATCCTCATTTATGAAGTGCCAAAATTATACAAGCAAAGGCCGAATAAACTATAGAATTTGTCTGTAAGCATGATGCCAGTTTTTTCTTTTGTCTGATATTTTGCAAATAAGGCTTCGCAAACCTTGATTTCTAGTATTTTAGATTACGAGAATATCAGTCATGTTTCAAGATGAGTGGATGAAGGCTCTCAGTTAGATTTGGGAAGCAGAAAGGATACTGCCCGGTGCTGCGTGGCATCGTTGTAATGTCATTGAATAAATTACTCTCTGATTTAACTTGAGCACTCCTGGATGGATAAGCACTTAATAATTTAACAGGGACCCTCTGTGTTACTCTTGAAGATCATAACTCACAGCAGTATTACTTACCGTGGGAAACTTTCTCATAGTTGGAGGCTGGAATGGTCATATCTATTTGTGAAGGACGGGGAGTGTTTTTGTTACCTTCAAAGACCCATTACGGGATATGATTGCTTGTGGGAGTGTCTGGTTATGATCTGTTAGAAAACAGCCTATTAATAAAACAGAGGCTCTTGTAATAGAGCACTTCTTAATCTTCTTCCTATGTAGTTATTTATAGGCTGTGACATCTTAATTTGCCTCTCATGTGCATCAACTTCTGTTATTTTAAAAGATCAAGTAGCTTTCACACGCCTCTGAGAATCACTTCTGGAGGAAACAGTCTGTTTTCTAAGGAATCTTACAAAAAGGCTTCAAGGCATAAGTTTGTTGTAAAAAAAAAAAAAAAAAAATGCATTAAGGTTTCTCCTGGTGTCTTTCTAAAGGACAAAAGTTATGGAATGTCCTGTTGTATAGATACTTGTATATTAGTCCTGTATTTTTCTGATTACAAGCAGATTTTCTTGAATTCTCGAAAGATTTCCAGTTGCTGACAGTGCTTATTTGCCCTTAGTGAGTGTGCAGTGACCTACCTGGAGCAATATTAAATTCATTATTCTCTTTATTTTTGTGGTTGTTTTCTTCATTAGAGTGGTCCTAGTGCCAGATCCTGTCACAAGATGTGCATTGACATTCAACGACGGCAGATCTACACGCTGGGACGCTATCTGGATTCCTCTGTGAGGAACAGCAAATCTCTGAAAAGTGACTTTTATCGCTATGACATTGACACAAACACATGGATGTTACTAAGTGAAGACACTGCAGCGGATGGAGGTCCAAAGCTGGTGTTTGATCATCAGGTCAGCTACACTTAGTACAAGTTCTCAATGTTTGCTAATCAATTTTCATCATAGCCTCCTGCGATTTGGAAGTGCTGCACCAGGTAACATAGCAGTGAGGAGGAAGGCTGCCATCTGCACTCAATTAAATTCTAATAGCATTGTTGTCTGATGCCACTGACTGCTGGTATTCTAATCAAACGAGTCAGAAGAACCATAAAAACCTTTGCAAACTAATTCATTTTATTAAGACACATTTTATTAAAGCTCAAAGCGCAGTTCATCTGTTTTTAATCGGTCTCGTTGAGCTGGGTTTGCAGATCTGCCTGCTCAGAGGGCGTTGGGGAACACCTTGCAAAGCTGTGTATGATACCTTCAGAAGAATACTATAAGCAAGCTGCTGAAATGATGCCAAGAGGATCAGGATTCTTTCAGAACTGGTTATCTTCTAAAATTTACAGAAAATGCTTGCTTTGTAGACAATGAAACACGTGAAAGGAGTGGCTAATAATTTTTTTTAAAAGCCACGCCTTTCCATGTGTTCAAACTGAATACTTTTTTACTTGTGTTTAACGGCTTTTGTGTGCTTTGAAAAGGTATTTTGTTCTTAATTGATTTTTGTAAAGCGTGACTGAGAAATAGCACATCAGTACTCATTTTTGACACAGCCCTAGAACTGATTTTATTGGTTCTAGCTGTTTTGTAATCAAAGCTGCTGTTTGCCAGCACAATGTGTGTTTCTGCTGACACTGAAAAGGAAAGATACGTGTTGTCTGCAGAACAAAACCCAATCAGTCTTTCTGTTCTATTAATAACGAATACCAGTCTCCCAGGTGTTGGGGGAAAAAGCAAAAGTAAATTGTCAGCTGGCAGGGCTATGCTAGGTACCTCGTTTGCCTACATCAGAGATGTTGTCTCTTTTTTCCCCTGCTGTCTCTTAGGAAAGAACGTCCTCCCTGAATTCTTTATCAATCTGCAGCTCTTCCTCTTCTCTCCCTCTGTACCTACTGCGATAGCATTTTTTGTTTAACCTTCACAAAAATGTGCTGCACTAGAAGTGTTTTGTGTAGGCTTTGCTGAGTAGCATCTCTATCTTTCTGTAATCTTGTCTGTGGTTGTTCCCTCCGCCCCCCTTGGTGTTTTGCAACACTGTGTTGCACTGTGTCTGAAAATATCATCTGGAGTCAGGGAGTTTTGTTTGATTTGTACTGCGGTGCATCTCTTGTGTACCATAATGTGAATTCAGGCTCTGAGGATAAATATATTTCTGCTGCAGTCTCATCAAAAATCCTTGGCCAGGTTATGGCCCTACTTTATGAAGAAGTAATGGGGGTAACAGTAAATATATGCTTGGAATGGAATCTGAGTAACAAACTGCAGGACAGTTTTGGATGGGTTGAATGGCGGACAGTAAATTTAGCATCAATTTTTGAATTTTTGCCTTGTGTAGCCATTGTGAAAGGTGATATTCTGCTAACTTTGACAGAATTGGCTGTGGATCCTGGTGAGAAACTTTTTTTTTTTCCCCCCCTAAAATCAGCAGCTAGAGGCAAGTTTTTTTACATGATGAAGGGTGCATGTAGCATTTTTTTCTTTCTTTCTTATTAAATAAGCAAGTTAAAATTAGACTCACCTTTTAAATAAAGGACTGTTTTCTGAGATTAATACCTGTCAACCATGAAGACACATGTATTCTTTTCTGCTTGTTAGAGGCTCAGGACATGTGTGGAGTACTGTCTTACTAGGTATCACTTGTAGGGGAGGGATGTTTAATCTTACATTTTAGCACTTTCAAGTCTTAATGTGCTGGCTTAAAACTACTTCTCTTTTTTTTACAGATGTGTATGGATTCTGAAAAACACATGATATATACCTTCGGAGGCAGAATTCTGACCTGCAACGGCAGTGTTGATGACAGCAGAGCCAGTGAACCGCAGTTCAGTGGGTTGTTTGCTTTCGACTGCCAGTGTCAGACATGGAAACTTTTGAGAGAGGATTCCTGTAATGCTGGACCTGAGGATATCCAGTCCCGAATAGGACACTGTATGTTGTTCCATTCTGTAAGTATCTGCACCATACTTTGATTCGTGATGCCTGACTTTAGGGAGAACATCTGGTTTTGATTTTTTTTTTTGTGAGTTTGAAGCTCTTTAATCTCCCAAGTGGTGTGTTGTCTCACTTGATTTTATGTTTGCTGACATTCTGATGCTTCTTTGGTAAGTGCAGGTGGTATTAATTCAAGTCTTGGAGCTTTCATGACTTCAACTGAATAAAATTGCAAGTAAAAAGCAAGGTGAACTTTAAATAGTTGATTTTGATCAGATAATGGTAAGACCTAGAGGCTATGTTACAACTTGATCTGAAGAGAGTTTTTCTTTTAGAGCTGGTAGAGCATTTTAGGACCTTCTGGTCTAGTAAATACCCAGCATGGTTACTCGAATGGTAAAGTTGGCTAATGCAGGGGCTTACTGGGTCTGTATTGAGATGCACAGGTCTCATATTCCTCTGTCTTAAGCTGCTGCTTGTCTTGAGCAGCTGTTAACAGCTGGGCACAGATGGAATTGTGGGCTCTTCATCCAGAAACTGATGGAAAGGCAGAGGGATGTGGGGAGAGAGGGCTATGTAGTGATTTTTTTCAGTTGTGCTTATCAACCACGTTTGCTTAAGTGCAGAACACGGGAACTGCGAGGTGTTTTGCTGACATTAAGCTCTGACTTGGGGGTGGGGAGGAAGAGAATTAAAATTAATATTGTGGTATTCAAGCGTTTACTGATACCCTCGATTGAAAACTGACCAGTTCGAACAATTTACTGAGTTT